GCTTTGGAAAAAAAGTAGTTGTATAATTAAGAACAGGATTCAATAGTTGGAATTGTAAGAGTTGTTGCCCTGTCCCTTTCTCTGCAATTGTCATTCTAATGGAATCCAGAAAGAACAAAACCCTGTCCTCAAACATTTACATCAAAAGGTGCAAAGTTATGGGCAAAGACACAAAACATCCACATCAAATTAAATATTTTTCTTCATCAAATAACATTAAAAACAACCACTTTTTATGCATTATTAATTTACCATCCTTACAAACCACTTAATGTAAATGTACATTACTGTATTGTACATAGGCTGGTCATCTAGGTTTGTACCTGTAGACTTTCCATCACCATTAACAGAAGCAATGCACAATACAGTAATTAAGTACATTGAGACACCAAGTGGTTTGTGATGATGTGATGTGATGATGTGGCTCAGTTGGTAGCGCATGGCTCTTGCAACGCTAGGGTTGTGGGTTCGATTCTCACGGGGGCCCTGTATGAAAATGTATGCAATCACTACTGTACATTTCTCTGGATTAGAGCGTCTACTAAAAATGGAATGAATAGACCATTTCAGTTTTCACATAGAAATAAGTTGCATTTGCTAAGTATTTTAAGAAACTGGAAAACATATATCAAGCAAGTATTTCTATATTCCACAGGTATTATCAGATTAACTGTTTAGAACAGATAATTATCAGACTCAAGTTACAAATGCTGGTAAACACTCAAATACATTTAGATTTTAAAAAAATCACAAAAGTATTGCATTGGCCCTTTACTAGTCCTGTATTAGCAGACTAATATTGAGTACCACAGTATGAGTCATAATACCATAAAACCTAGCGGTAAAACCCGGAAGTGTTTCCAATCGTTTTTTCGCCATTCATTTATGTGTCGGGATTTTTGAACTACTTCCTATAAGGTCTGTGTTTCGTGTAGGCTGGTGTGACGTTTTGATAGCCATATAACTCTCTCTCGGACAAGGTAACTTTTATCAATATATTCGCCTGTCATTACCCCCCCAAAATGAAACGCTAATTATCCGCTAATGTGGCTATCATACAGAACTACACATCCTGTCGCAAGCTTTGACGTCATCCCTCAAGGCACATTTCTCCATACAGTATTTCTGTCTGTAATAAAGCCATTTTGTGGGGAAAAACTCATTCTGATTGGCTGGGCCTAGCTCCCCAGTGGGTGGGACTAGCCAGGCCTAGTGTGTGGGTGAGTGCCCAACCATGACTGCACCCCTACCCAGTCATGAGAAATTCATAGATTAGGGCCTTATGAATGTATTTATATTGACTGATTTCCTTATATGAACAGTAACTCAGTAGTCGTTGAAATTGTTGCATGTTACATTTATATATTTTTTCAGTAAATATTAATATCATACAGTGGATGCCTAAGCCTATAGGCCTATGCATGCAATGCCCTGATGCATTTAGTGCTGACCCGTGAGGTTCTGTCTCATAAATCCCTGACATATTACTTTATAAACATATCGAACATACATTAATTTACACATCAGAAATATTAAATTCCAATTCACATCCTCAAATTCTTTACATTTATACCGCAAATATATTTACTCTTAACTTTAATTCCGCTGTTTAGGTTATAATTATGTAGTTGACTGTTGCCCACTATAGCCTCATAGGAGACTAAAACATGAAAGCCTTTAAAGAAGTTACTTTATACTCATGCTCAAAATACATTCACCCAGTGTAAGAAGAGCTAATAGAAAGACAAGACTATTTCAAATGACATTAATGCTAATTATTGGAAAATGACTGAACAAGCTAGCATAGCGCTAACCGAAGCCAGCATCAACTGACCGGAGCTAGCAAACAGCTAACCGGGGCTAGCCAAAAGCTAACTGGAGCGGATAATAGTTAACCAGAGCTAGCTCTAAGCTAGCGGCTTTTCTAACATTTGCAGTACAACAATTACAAGTTCTTAAACATCACAGTTGCAACATTACATTCTCTAAACCCTTAGGATATTGTCAGGAGTGTCTTTTTCAAAAATAGAAATGTTCAGGAGTTAACAATTAGTTTTTTCTAGATCAAAGGAATGCACCGCCATAATTTCATTTTACACTCAACATGCGTTTTCTGTCTAGTACGAAGTTATACAATTACTATGTTGTTCAAAACCATTAAATTCACTTCAACAGCCAAGTTACAAAAGTATATTGTGGTATTTTTGTACTTTACTGACCTGTAACACAGGATAAATGATGAAATAAGAGAACGTGGCTTCTCTTTCAAAGGTTCTCTCAATTATGAGAACACACAGGTGCAGGATCGCATGTAGTCCCAGTGCAAAGCGAACACGTATCACTGCCCCCTACTGGCCAACAGTAGTATAAGGTCATCGCAATGTCAAAACCTTGGAGGACTGACATTTCAGTAAAAGCCTTCTGCCCCAATACAAAGAAACAATACATAAACACAAATGTGACCATACCTTTTGTTTACGTCACACATATCCTACACACAGCTGAAGTTGGAAGTTTACATTCACTTAGGTTGGAGTCATTAAAACTCGTTTTTCAACCACTCCACACATTTCTTGTTAACAAATTATTGTGCATGACACAAGTAATTTTTCCAACAATTGTTTACAGACAGATTATTTCACTTATAATTCACTGTATCACAATTCCAGTGGGTCAGAAGTATACATACACTAAGTTGACGGTGCCTTTAAACAGCTTGGAAAATTCCATAAAATGATGTCATGGCTTTAGAAGCTTCTGATAGGCTCAGAAAATAAATTATAGACCTCCACAAGTCTGGTTCATCCTTGGGAGCAATTTCCAAATGCCTGAAGGTACCACGTTCATCTGTACAAACAATAGTACGCAAGTATAAACAGCATGGGACCACGCAGCCATCATACCGCTCAGGAAGGAGACGCATTCTGTCTCCTAGAGATGAACGTATTTTGGTGCGAAAAGTGCAAATCAATCCCAGAACAACAGCAGAGGACCTTGTGAAGATGCTGGAGGAAACAGGTACAAAAGTATCTATATCCACAGTAAAATTAGTCCTATATCGACATAACTTGAAAGGCCGCTCAGCAAGGAAGAAGCCACTGCTCCAAAACCGCCATAAAAAAGCCAGACTACGGTTTGCAACTGCACATGGGGACAAAGATCGTACTTTTTGGAGAAATGTCCTCTGGTCTGATGAAACAAAAATGGAACTGTTTGCCCATAATGACCATCGTTATGTTTGGAGGAAAAAGGGGCAGGCTTGCAAGCCGAAGAACACCATCCCAACCGTGATGCACGGGTGTGGCAGCATCATGCTGTGGGGGTGCTTTGCTGCAGGAGGGGCTGGTGCACTTCACAAAATAGATGGCATCATGAGGAAGGAAAATGATGTGGATATATTGAAGCAACATCTCAAGACATCAGTTAGGAAGTTAAAGCTTGGTCGCAAATGTGTCTTCCAAATGGACAATGACCCCAAGCATACTTCCAAAGTTGTGGCAAAATGGCTTAAGGACCCTGACCTCAATTCTATAGAACATTTGTGGGCAGAACTGAAAAAGGGTGTGCGAGCAAGGAGGCCTACAAACCTGACTCAGTTACACCAGCTCTGTCAGGAGGAATGGGCCAAAATTCACCCAACTTATTGTGGGAAGCTTGTGGAAGGCTACCCGAAACGTTTGACTCAAGTTAAACAATTTAAAGGCAATGCTACCAAATACTAATTGAGTGTATGTAAACTTCTGAACCACTGGGAATGTGATGAAAGAAATAAAAGCTGAAATAAATCATTCTCTCTACTATTATTCTGACATTTCACATTCTTAAAATAAAGTGGTGATCCTAACTGACCTAAGACAGGGAATTTTTACTAGGATTAAACGTCAGGATTTGTGAAAAACTGAGTTGAAATGTATTTGGCTACGGTGTGTGTAAACTTCTGACTTCAACTGTAGAAAAACAAGAAATAGTAGTTCTGTAATTAGTTATAGGCTGTTTTTAAGGACACGTAAATGTGGCTCATTTGGCCAATGTCCCTGGTTTATTCATGGCACTGGCTGTGCCAAGTCAGATCTGAATGCATATGGATATCCGGTAAATGTCTGAAATGTCCTTTCAATTAAATTCTGCCGGTGACGTTGTCCGTCGCCAAATTTTCCTAATGGAAACCTTGGCATACATAGTACAATGAAAGTGGTGGGGAAACATCCGACTGGGAGGTGTAATCATTGTCAGGAGGAGATGGAGGCAGTGGAACATGTTCTATTTCAGTGCCAGAAATATGTGAGAAAAAGGGAGCGATTGTTATTAGATTTGAGGAGTAATTGGGTTGAAGAGCAAGGATTAAGTGAACTGCTGGGGAAATCTTCAGGGGATGTAGTATTTAATTATGTATTTCGTTTCCTTAGGGAGACCAGATTATTGGGTAGGATTTAGACCAGGACTGCCCAACCCTCTTCCTGGAGATATACTGTCCTGTGTGTTTTCAGTCCAACCCTAATTTAACACACCTGTTTCTACTTATTAGCTGCTCAACAAGACCTTAACTAGCTGAATCAGATATGCTAAATTAGGGTTGGACTGAACCTACAGGACAGTAGATCTCCAGGAAAAGGGTTGGGCAGCCCTGATTTAGACCTTCACGGTCTCTGGTCCACCCTCCAGTCCAGTTGGTGGCGGTAATGCACCTTAAAGTTGGTTGCCAACCGCCATATATAATCCACATAAGAAGAAGAAGGAGGTTACAGTTGGTTTTGTTTGTTTATTTGCGGTTAACGATAAGGTTTAAGCAATAGTTAATGGTTAAATCATTGAAGCAAGAGTTAATAGTAAGGGGTTTATTGGTAGTCCGTTAAGGGAAAGGTTGAACTGTTACCGTAGTGTGTTTTGTTTTTTGTATTCCTTGAGCTAGCCAGCACGCTTGCTAATGCCAGGGTCAGGTGATTATCAAATTATTAATTGAATAATTTATTGGCACGGAAATCAACACAATTTGCAGTACCATGGAGGACAGCACCACGGAACTCGAAAGACCCGGTTGCTTGAGTGTCGGTCAGCAGTCAGAAAAGGCGACACCAACCGATGGTAGCCGCCAGAACAGTGTCGACAACGATGGGACATCCAATAATGTTGACTCGGATTCAGAGGATGAGGTACAGTATTGCAGACTTGGACAATATCTAGTGTTTCTTATTTTGCTAGAGTGACGAGAATCATAATGTACTGTTATGAATATGATAGCTGCTACAATGGTTTGTACTCTACTGTAAATGTGATACACTCCAGTTCTGTAATGTGGAATGCCATTGTGACTGTGTTTTTTCTTCTTTTCACAGCCTGAACAACCTCTTAATCAATTTTACCCTTATATCCGCTGTGCTCTCTGTTGCGGATTCCTCATTGATTCCACCACCATAACAGAGTGTCTGCACACTTGTGAGTTACAATGATTGAGATAAATATTCCTGAAATATGACTGCTATCACTTCAGTCTCATTACATCAGTCATACTTGCTTTGTAATCTGTTCTCTTTTCCTCAGTTTGTAAAAGCTGCATAGTGAAACACTTCTTCTACAGCAACAGGTGTCCCAATTGCAGCATTGTGGTCCACCAGACACAGCCACTGTACAATATAAGGTAAGCATGCCTGCCTGAAATCTACGAGCACACAGGCTCTTGTCTTGTTTTACATTTGAAGACATCGGTTCATGCAGTTTTATGAGAGTTGGTCAAAAACAGAGATTTCAGACTTCATCAAAGGTTGTTTTTCTACTTGCCATCATTAGTGTTATTTAAAGAGGACATCCCATGAGTCTGTTTCTATGGTTACAGTCTCCCTGCTGGGGAGTTACCTGGAACACAAAGTCCTGGTGTGACGCACAGATACTGATGCCTCTCTGTAGACACTACTGTTATTAATGTCCAAGCACACTTGTCTATTGCACAACTCTGCTTTCTGCACAGTCCAAAGGGACACAAATGTAAATATTACTATTGTGCAAACTCATTTGAATGAAAACATTGCCACGATTAACAGAAATGTTCACTGAAACGACGTGTGCAGAAGTCAGCTTTGCAGTAGTTTACTATACCTCTCCCATTGGCCCATTATCAATTAATACAATGAGCTATAGGCTAATAGTCACTTATACACTGGTATGTAGATACTTACTGTATAGTGGGTGTTTTTGCATCTCCACAGACCTGACAGACAGTTGCAAGATATTGTTTACAAGATGCTGCCACATCTGGAAGAAAGTAAGTATCTACAAGCCTTCCATTTCTCAGATTTTCCCCAACTGCCTCTTGTTAATCTTTAGTTTTGCAGTTAAAATTAGTATTGTCTTTACTCTTTATGTCGTTGCAGTGGAGAGAGCAAGGATGATTGATTTTTACAAACAGAGAGGACTGGAGGTGCCTAAACCAGGTATATAAGATGAATGTTGTTGCTGTTAATTGTGTTTTTGGTAGAGATTTGATGCAGCTTTGTTTATATGAAATGGTTTGGGTATTTGAAGACTACCCTCTGATTTTAGCCATGTCTGAGTCTCTGTCTGTCTCAGTGCTGTGTGTGGAACATTCCCCTAATGCTACTGTAACGCTTTCTTAGTGACCTCAGTGATGGCGTCCCCTGCGGTCCCTGTGCTGAAGAACCAGAAGCAGAGGAGGGAGTTGCTGCCCCAGTCTGTCTTCACCATCCCTCCTGAACTGGATGTGTCTCTGCAGCTGGAGTTTGTGGGGTGAGTCTCTCCCTAGCATCTTCTATTTGAGTGATTGAGGGGTATTTCCTGAGAGATTTTGAAATTGGATTGTTTATGTTTGTCTCTGGTCATTCTTGTCTCCACCAGTAGATGGTGCTGGAGTGCTTCCTTTGTGTGCATATGGACTAGGGCAGCGTTTCCCTAACTCAGTCCTGGGGACCGCAAGGGATACACGTTTTTGTTTTTGCCCTAGCACTACACAGCTGATTTTAAAATAATCAAAGCTTGATGATTAGTTGATTATTTTAATCAGCTGTGAAGTGCTATGGCTTAAACTAAAGCGTGCATCCCTTGGGGTCCCCAGGACTGAGATTGGCAAACCCTGGACTAGGGAGAACATTTGAAGTTACAAGACTGATGGTTAACTTTACAAAATTGGTGGCAGGGATTAAGAAAATTCTATGTAAAGTTGTGTTTTGTTTTGTTTCCAGAGCGGAAGAAGGCATAGACAGCTATAAGGTAATTTACTGCTGACAAGCTATTTTCTCATGTTTTAACAACGGTTGTATGAGACTGTTAAAATAAATAACAGCATAACGCTGCTATCCAGCCACTATATAGTAATGGTCATACATAAAGAAATGTTGATATTGAGTTATATTGGTAAAATGAATAAGCTCTAACACTGGTGTCCCTGGCCAGCCTTTGGAGAGGCGGTATGTGCGAGTATCGGGGGATGCCACTGTCCGCCATGTGGCGCTCTTCATCAGGAGGAAGATGGAGCTGAGTCCCACTTGCCAGGTCTGTGGGAGGAGTTACCCATTTACTTTACCAGGATGTCTGATGGGGTTATGAACTATTTCTCAGAGGGAGACCTGACAAGGGAAAAGCATAAATATTTACACATATCTGATCGTTATGTGAGAGAGCTCTCTGCTTCAAGAAAGCGGTATGTTGAACCCATCTCAATTTCATCCCCTGTAATATACTTTAGAGGCCTGTATTGTTGCAATTCCAGGGCACTCTAGGACATCAGGGCTAAGTAACCAGGTGAGAGGGTTAGATACAGAGCCAAATGCTCACACAAGGACAGAGGGAAGTGTGTTTGTGTGTCTTATATAAAACTGCAGAGCCTAACAGCACAGCCAGGGAACAGAGCTACCTGTACGTAGCGTGTTTAGCAGTAACAGGGATTAGAGGTTTAGGTTGATTTCTTGGCACTCAGCGCACCTATTACCCACTCCGGTATCTCGCTTTATTAGCTGGGTGCTCTGCCATATACAGTGCATTCGGAAAGTATTCAGGCCACTTGACTTTTTCCACATTTTGTTGCGTTACAGCCTTATTCTAAAATGGATACCATTGTTTTTTCCCCCTCATCAATCTAAAAATACACCATAATGACAAAGCAAAAACAGGTTTTTAGAATATATATTTTTTTAAATAACTGAAATATCACATTTACATAAGTATTCAGACCCTTTACTCAGTACTTTGTTGAAGCACCTTTGGCGCGATTACAGCCTTGAGTCTTCTTAGGTATGATGCTACAAGCTTGGCACACCTGTATTTGGGGAGTTTCTCCCATTCTTCTCTGCAGATCCTCTAACTGTCAGGTTGGATGGGGAGCGTCGCTGCACGGCTATTTTCAGGTCTCTCCAGAGATGTTAGATCGGGTTCAAGTCCTCTGGCTGGGCCACTCAAGGACATTCAAAAACTTGTCCCAAAGCCACTTCTGCGTTGTCATGGCTGTGTGCTTAGGGTCATTGTCCTGTTGGAAGGTGAACTTTCGCCCCAGTCTGAGGTCCTGAGCGCTCTGGAGCAGGTTTTCATCAAGGATCTCTCTGTACTTTGCTCCGTTCATCGTTCCCTCGATCCTGACTAGTCTCCCAGTCCCTGCTGCTGAAAACATCCCCACAGCATGATGCTGCCACCACCATGCTTCACTGTCGGGATGGTGCCACGTTTCCTCCAGACGTGACGCTTGGCATTCAGGCCAAAGAGCTCAATCTTGACCTCATCAGACCAGAGAATCTTGTTTCTCATGGTTTGAGTCCTTTACATGCCTTTTGGCAAACTCCAAGCAGGCTGTCATGTGCCTTTTACTGAGGAGTGGCTTCCGTCTGGCCACTCTACCATAAAGGCCTGATTTGTGGAGTGCTGCAGAGATGGTTGTCCTTGTGGAAGGTTCTCCCATCTCCACAGAGGAACTCGGGAGCTCTGTCAGAATGACCATCGGGTTCTTGGTCACCTCCCTGACCAAGGCCCTTTTCCCCCGATTGCTCAGTTTGGCCGGGTGGCCAGCTCTAGGAAGAGTCTTGGTGGTTCCAAACTTCTTCCATTTAAGAATGATGGAGGCCACTGTGTTCTTGGGGACCTTCAATGCTGCAGAAAAGTTTTGGTACCCTTCCCCAGATCTGTACCTTGACACAAACCTGTCTCAGAGCTCTACGGACAATTCCTTCGACCTCATGGCTTGGTTTTTGCTCTGACATGCACTGTCAACTGTGAGACCTTTAATATAGACAGGTGTGTGCATCTCCAAATCATGTCCAATCAATTGAATTTACCACGGGTGGACTCTTCAAGTTGTAGAAACATCAAGGATGATCAAAGGAAACAGGATGCATCTGAGCTAAATTTTGAGTCTCATAGCAAAGGGTCTGAATACTTATGTAAATAAGGTATTTCTGTTTAAATTTGTTCTCAATTTAAACATTTCAAAAAACCTGTTTTCGCTTTGTCATTATGGGGTATTGTGTGTAGATTGAGGATTTGTTATTTATGTAATCCCTTTTAGAACAAGGCTGTAACGTAACAAAATGTGGAAAAAGGGAAGGGGTGTGAATACTTTCCGAATGCACTGTACACAGAGTATAACAAACATTAGGAACACCTTCCTAATATTGAGTTACACCCCACCTCCCCTTTTGCCCTCAGAACAGCCTCAATTCGTCGGGGCATGGACTCTACAAGGTGTCAAACGTTCCACAGGGATGCTGGCCCATGTTGACTCCAATGCCAGCCAATTCCCACAGTTGTGCCAAGTTGGCTGGATGTCCTTTGGGTGGTTGACCATTCTTGAAACACACAGCAAACTGTTGAGCGTGAAAAACCCAGCAACGTTGTAGTTCTTCACACAAACCGGTGCGCCTGGCACCTATTACCATACCACGTTTAAAGGCACTTAACTTTTGTCTTGCCCATTCACCCTCTGAATGGCACACGTACAAAATCCATGTCTCAAGGCTTAGAAATCCTTCTTTAACCTGTCTCCTCCCCTTCATCTACACTGATTTTTAAGTGGATTTAACAAGTGACATCAATAAGGGATCATAGCTTTCACATGGATTCACCTGGTGAGTCTGTCATGGAAAGAGCAGGTGTTTTTAATGTCTTGTATACTCAGTGTATATGACAAGGACTTCAAATGAAATCCTAAGTTCAAGAACATTGGGGAACGGCGGAAATCCAATATGTATTTTTTTAAGTCAAGAAGACGTCACCTCATTTCACCTTTTTTTATTTTCGGCTGGGCAGGCTCATGCGTTTAGGCAGTTATGATCAGAGCATCAAGAGATGTTCCAAAGCCAATGTTTTTTTTTTAATGCAAGTACCTAAGTGATAATTACAATTGCCCACACCTGTGTCAGGGCTGTGCAAACTGGTATTCAAAACATTAGTCAACCAACAATTCTTACAATATATACAGTGCCTTCAAAAAGTATTCATACCCCTTGACTTTAATCAAAATGGATTAAAAATATATATTTCACCCATCTTCACACACTAACCCATAATGACAGTGAAAACATGTTTTTAGAAATCTTTGAAAATGTATTTAAAATGAAATACAGAAATATCTCATTTACATAAGTATTCACACCCCTGAGTGAATACTTTGTAGAAACAACACCTTTGGCGGCGATTTACAGCTTTTGAGTCGTCTTGGTTATGTCTGTATCAGCTTTGCACATCTGGATTTGGGGATTTTCTCCAATTCTTCCTTGCAGGTTTTCTCAAGCTCTGTTAATTTAGATGGGGAGCGGCGGTGAACAGCAATTTAAGTCTTTCCACAGATTTTCAATGGTATTCAAGTCTGGGCTTTGGCTGAGCCACTCAAGGACTTTCACATTCTTGTTCTGAAGCCATTCCTGTGTTTGTTTGGCTGTATGCTTGGGGTCATTGTCCTGTTGGAACGTAAATCTTCGCCCCCAGTCTGTCGTTTGCACTCTGAAGCAGGTTCTCAAGGATTTGCCTGTATTTGGCCCCATTCTTTGTTTCCTCTATCCTTACCAGTCTCCCAGTCCCTGCCGCTGAAAAGCATCGCCATAGCATGATGCTGCCACCACCATGCTTCACAATAGGGATGGCGTTAGATGGGTGAAGAGCTGTACCTGTTTTTTCCAGACATAGCGCTTTGCGTTCAGGCCAAAGAGTTACATTTTTGCCTCATCAGACCACATAATCTTTCGCCTTATGATTTGTCTTTCTCGTGCTTTTTGTAAATTCCAGGTGTTCTGTCGTGCCTTTTTCTCAGGAGTGGCTTCCGTCTGGCCACTCTCCCATAAAGCCCAGATTGGTGAAGTGCTGTAGAGACTGTTGTCCTTCTGGCAGGTTCTCCCATCTCAGCAAATAAATTCTGTAGTTCTGTCAGGGTGGTCATTGGGTTCTTGGTCACCTCCCTGACCAAGGTCCATAATGCCCGGTTGCTCAGTTTGGTCGGACGAGTCTGGGTAGTTCCATATTTGTTCAATTTCCCAATGAGGGAGACAACTGTGCTCTTGGAAACTTTCAACAATCTCTAGAAATTGTTTTATACCCTTCCTCAGATATATGCCTCCTCACAATTCTATCTCTGAGATCTACGGACAGTTCCTTGGACTTCATGGTATAGTTTCTGCTCTTACATGCACTGTCAACTGTGGGACCTTAGACAGGTGTGTTTCTTTCTAAATGATGTCCAAACAATTGAATTGGCCACAGATGGACTCCAATCAAGTTTTAGTGACATGTCAAGGATGAGCAAAGGAAATTGGATGCACCTGAGTTCAATTTGGAGTGTCATAGCAAAGGGGTGTGAATACTTATGTAAATTATATTTCTGTATTTCATTTTCAATAAATGTGCCAAAATTTCAAACCATGTTTTCACTTTGCCATTATGGGGTATTGTATGTAGAAAAAAAGTATCTATTTAATCCATTTCAGAATAAGGCTGTATGTAACAAAATGTGGAAAAAGTCAAGGGGTCTGAATACTTTCTGAAGGAACTGTATACAAATACACAGATCAGCAGAATAAACTTAACAAATTAGCATTTAGGTGGAAGTAGTACATTTGAGATATTCTGGTGTAATAGTCACTTCCTAGTGCACAATAAAAACATACAAAAATAGATGCTTTGGTGTATGAAAAATAAACATCTGGACAGAAAGATAGCTTGATTGAATGTAGGACAAATATACACTACTGGTCAAAAGTTTTAGAACACCTACTCATTCAAGTGTTTTCTTTATTTTTACTATTTTCTACATTGTAGAATAATAGTGAAGACACTACGAAATAACACATATGGAATCATGTAGTAACCAAAAAAGTGTTAAACAAAATATATTTTATATTTGAGATTCTTCAAATAGCCACCCTTTGCATTGATGGCAGCTTTGCGCACTCTTGGCATTCTCTCAACCAGCTTCACCTGGAACGCTTTTCCAACAGTCTTGAAGGAGTTCCCACATATGCTGAGCATTTGTTGGCTGCTTTTCCTTCACTCTGCGGTCCGACTCATCCCAAACCATC